ACACACTACACAGGGAGAACAGAGTGCCCAAACTCCTTGAACCTCCCAGAAGTTAAAACAGCCACGAAGGACAGGGAGAAAGGTCTCACTTCAAGAGTTTGTTGTTAGCTGCCCTCGAGCTGGCCCCTGATTCGTGGTGACCCCACGGAGAATGGAGCAAAACGCTGCCTGGTTCCTTACCTTCCCCACGACTGGTTGTGGATCGGACCACCGTGATCCAGGGGGTTTCTATTCTTTCTTTAAATAATATTTTATTGTGTTTCAGTGAACGCTTACACAGCAGTTCAGGTTCCCAATCAGCAATTTCTACCCAATGGTTACTGTTTTCACAACTTTCATTCACATTCTCATTATTTGCAGTAACATTGTTTCCCTGTCCCTTACGTTCTTTGTTTTACAGCAACCGTTGACTGTTTCGACTTTTTAAAGGAGCACAGTACTTATGAGTGATATTCATTATTTTGTAAGCCAATCTGCTATTTAGCTACAAAGTGACCTCAGGGTTTAGTTTTGGTTCAAGGTTTGGAGAGTATCTCAGACCAAGAGTCTTGGGGGAGTCCTGCAGTCTCAACCAGTTCAGTAAGACTGTTTCTGTTTTTTTACAGGAATGCGAGATTCCACTGCACATTTTTCTCCCGTTCTGTTGGGGCATCTGTTGTAACACTGATTAGAGGAGTCTGCAGTGGAAGCTGGGCACCATCTAGTTCTTCTGGTCTCAGGGTAGATGAGGCCGTGGTTTGTGCTGATTATTTGTCCTGTAGACTATTTGTTCTTTGAGTCTTTGGTTTTCTTCCTTCTCTTTTGCTTTGGATGAATAGAGACCAATAGTTTAGTGATTCATAGAGTTCCACTGGGTGATTCTCAGAAGCAAACCACCAGGTCTTTCTTCCTGGTCTGAGTCTGGAAGCTCCACTGAAACCTGTTCAGCAACATAGCAGCACACAAGCCACCACTGATAGATGGCTGGTGGCTGTGCACGAGGTGCACTGGGCGGGACTCCAACCCTGGTGGCCCTATGGAAGGTGAGAATTCTCCCACCAAAACACCCTGGCTACCATGCTGGAAAATGCCGTGTTTACAGTCCAGCAAGTGTACCAGACAGGCAATGGGAGGGCATGGCTTCATGCTTCCATGGTTTCAAGCATCTGGAGACAGCATGTTCCTGCCAACGAATGGTGTGCTGTGACCAGATGCCACCCCAGCATCACAGTCACCTGGGATTCCTAGGTGGGAAGTCCCACTGTAGGTTCTGGACTAGAATGAGGCCTGGAAACCTGTAGATGAAGCAAACACACACGGGGATTCTCACATGTGGCCATGGTGCAAGCAAAGAGCAGGTGTGCAGCAGGCCTGGGCATGTCACCAGAGAAGCAAGTTAGCCTCCACTCTCAGTGCCCCTCAGGATGCAGCCCAGGCTCTGTGCCTGGTATGATGGTTATGGGGAGGACGTCTGTCAGCACATGAGCTCTTGGATCTCCTGATGGCCACAGGCTGCCCAATGATGAGGCTGAGAGGGTATGGCTGCAGGTAGAAGGCAGGGAGAGTGAGACCTTGCCAGGGCTTAGAGCATGGCTTAGGGAGGCCTGTTCTGAATGTGGGAGGTGGGATTTCTAGGCTCAACTGTGAACCCAATAAAAGAAAACCATATCCGTGCCTCCTGGAGGACGTTGGTGGTTGTTGTTGTTGTTGTTATGTGCCGTCGAGTCAAACCTGACTCATAGCGACCCCTCCTTGGGTTTCCGAGGCAGTATCACTATGGAAGTAGGATTGCCCAACCTTCCTTCCGAGGAGTGGCTGGTGGGTTTGAACCACCAGCCGTCTGGTTAGCAGGCAAGTGTCTTAGCCACTATGCTACAACGTAGCTAATTTCATTTAATTTGGAGGTATCGCACATAGTAATACCAAATTCTCCAGAGTTCAGGAGCATTTGGTAGAAGGCCAAAGAACTCCTTTCCAAAGTACATTCACGGGGAGCACATTTTAGTGCAGAGCCCAGTGTCATAACATGCAATAAGCCAGCTGCCAGTGAGTTGATTCCGACTGACAGCAACTCCATGTGTGCAGAGGAGAGAGGTGCTCCAAGGTTTTCAGCGACTGATTTCTTAGAAAGTAGATCACCAGGCCTTTCTTCTGAGGAGTGTCTCGTGGACTCAAACCTCCAACCTTACTGTTAGCAGTGGAGTATGTTACACTTTTGCATCACCCTAGGGTTCATCATCATGATCCCAACCCCAAACCAAACTCACTGCTGCTGGCTAAGTTCTGACTCACAGCAACCTTACAATAATGTTGTTATTGTTGTTAGGAGCCGTTGAGATGGCTCTGATTCATAGTGACCCCATGCACAACAGAACAGAACACTGCCTGGTCCCATGCCATCTGCATAATCCTTGCTGTGCATAAGCCCATCATTACAGCCACTGTAACAATCCATCTCGTTGAGGGCCTTCCCCATTTTCGTTGACCCTCTACTTTACCAACCATGATATTCTTCTCCAGGGACTGGTCCCTTCTGACAACATGGCCAAAGTAGGTGGGATGAAGTCTGGCCATTCTAGTTTCTAAGGAGTATTCTGGCTACAGTTCTTCCCGGACAGATTTATTTATTCTTTTGGCAGTCCATAGTATCTTCAGTATTCTTTGCCAACACTGCAATCCAAAGGCATCAATTTTCCTTCTGTCTTCCTTATTTACTGTTTAGCTTTCATATGCACAAAAGGTGACTGAAAATACCATGGCTTGGGTTAGACACATCTTAGTCTTCAAAGTGACATCCCTGTCTTCAAAGTGACATCTTTGCTCTTAAACATTTTCAAGAGGTTTTTTTTTTTTTTTTTTTTCAGCAGATTTCCCTAGTGCAGTGTGATGTCTGCTTTCTTGACTGCTGCTTCCAAGGGTGTTGATTATGGATCCAAGTAAAATGAAATCTTTGGCAACTTCAATCTTATCTCCATTTACTGTGACATTGCTTACTGGTCCAGTTGTGAGGCTCTTTGTTTTCTTTATGTTGAGCTATAACCCATACTGCAGACTACAGTCCTGAATCTCCATCAGTAAGTGCTTCAAGTCATCTTCAGTTTCAGCAAGCAAGGTTGTGTCATCTGCATATCACAGGTTGTTCATGATTCTTCCTTTAATCCTGATGCCGTGTTCTTCTTCATATAGTCTAGCTTCTTGGATTATTTGCTCATGTACGGACTGCATAAGTATGGTGAAAGGATACAACCCTGATGCACTTCCTTCCTGATTTCAAATATGCAGTATCCCCTTGTTCTGTTCCAATGAAACCTCTTGGTCTATCTACAGGTTCCTCTTGAGCACAATTAAGTGTTCTGGAATTCCTATTTTTTGCAATATTATCCATAATTTGTTTCGATGCACACAATCGAATGCTTTTGCATAGTTAACAAAATGAAGGTAAACATCTTTCTAGTATTCTTTGCTTTCAGCCAAGACCCATCTGACATCAGCAATGATATCCCTTGTTCCCCATTCTCTTCTAAATCTAGCTTGAAGGTACCTGTCAGTATACTGCTGAAACCATTTTTGAATTATCTTCAGGAAATTTACTTTCATGTGATATTAATGATACTGTTTGATAATTTCCACATTCTGTTGGATCACTTTTCTTTGGAATGGGCACAAATATGGGCACTTATAATAACAGAAGGCACTAATTTTCCCAGCACTAGGATAGGGACATCATGGCAAAGCATGTCCCAGTATTGAAATGGAAAAGAATTTCATGGTGAAATACAGTTAGAAACCAGTTGGTTAAACAAAATTCAAGAGGTGTCTTAAAGAAGGGATGGTGAGGTGCCTTAATATGCTAATGCATATGGTGGACGGGGACCTGAATACTAGCTCTCTTGGGTGGGTGTTGTGAGGATGAAATGGTTTGATCTCGTAAACCATGTAGAGTAGTGTCTGGCAAATACTGAGTGCTCAGTCACAGTTACTCTTAGTGATATCATTACTGTCGAAGAGGAGGGATATAGTAGGAATCACTTTCCAATTTTGTTGGCATGGTGATCTCCATGTTTCCTATGGAGGGCTTTTTGTGACCAGAGGACCATTAAGGACACTTTGGGAAATAAGGAACTGGAAATTTTACCTAACTTTTTTCTTTTTCTTAGCGTATTAGACAACATATCCAAATCAAAACAAAACTCGCTGCCAGCGAGATGATCCTGACTCATAGCAACACTATAGGGTAGAGCAGAATTGCCCCATAGGATTTCCAAGGCTGTAAATCTTTACAGAAGCAGACTGCCTTCTCCGATGTGACAACATGTCAGTACAAGGTAATAGTAACACAGGAAAATAGGAACTTTCTATTTTCCACCACCGTCCATCAGTCTCTCACACTCTGGTGGCTTGTGTCTTGCTATGATGTGGGAAGCTAAGCCACTGCTATTCCAAATACCAGAAGGGTCACCCATGGGGGCCACACTTCAGCAGAGCTTTCAGACTAGGAAGGGAAGCCTGAGGACCTATTTCCAGTAATTAGGCAATGAAAACACTGTGGGTGACAACAGCATATAGTTTGACATAGGGCTGGGAGAGGAGCCCCGTTGGTATGACGGCATCAGAATACACAGTGCTCACAACATGTGCCCTGGCAAACCCTTGGTCATGCAGGTGGTGCAGGACTGGGCAGTGTTTTGCTGTGTTGTACGTGGGTCACCACGAGTCAGAGTGGTGAACAGCAACGATCATGTGGCCAGCACTGGGCTCAGAAGCCCATTGAAGCTCATCATGTCGTCTGAGGTTCACAACCCACTGAAGTCGCTTTTATCATCATCTGTATCTCACAGGTGAGGAGTTGAAGCTTGATGGGTAGAACTAAGATTTTAACTCTTGCTCAGTGGCTTCAATCCATCTGCCCAACTACTTATAGAATCCTCCCAATAGCCCCTGCCTATGGTAACCATACAGCAAATACTCCCTCAAAAAAACAAACTCATTAAATCATCATTTTTTGCTTTACCAAGGCTCACCATTTTTTTCAACTGGAACATGGCAACGAGGACAAGGTTTGGTGGTTTTCTTGATTGTTTCTTTGGAGGCCTCTTCCCACCGAGCTTGCTCTGCGGCCTTTTCATCAACTCTGTAGCCCTGGATAAATCAAGACACGTGGAGTTCAGATTCCGATCTTTACCTGAGGATGCAAGTTTAGGCCATGACATTCCCTTTTTCTCTTATCACCACCTCTCGTTGCAACATTGGTTCAGGAAATTCTCAAAGAAGGAAGTGCCTTCAGAGAGGCTTTTCCAATATCAATGCCTGGACAAGTGATGGAAGGCTACTGCATGTCCAGACAACACAGTTTTCTGGGCCTGGGACATATGCCTACAAACTAACAAGAGATCACTCAGCTGTACAGTGTGAGGCCCTTTATTCTGTTATTTTGAATAACTGTAATGAGCTACATTTATCAGGTTTAATGAATTCAAACCATGGTGTTGGTAAAGAATATTGAATAGACCATGGACTTCCAGAAGAACAAGCATTCTTAGAAGAAACACAACCAGAATGCCCCTGAGAAGCAAGGATGGAGAGACTTTGGCTTGTTGACTTCGGATGTGTCATTAGGAGAGACCAATGCTAGGAAAGGAAGCCATGTCTGGCAGAGCAGAGGGTCAGTGAAAAGAGGGAAACCCTCATGAGATGGATTGACAGCAATGGTGAAATGACTGGATGGACTCCAGCATGTCCATGGTCATGAGGATGGAGCGGGACTAGAGAATGCTTTGTTCCATTGCACTGAAGATCACCATGAACTGTAGCCAACTGGATGGTAACTTATAACAATAACATTAGATGCTATATATACAGGAAAAGTGATAAATGCTTTATATTCACTTCTTTTTAGGTGCTTCATCAAGTGAGATTTAAAGGACTTAAACAACCGCCACAGGCTGGTAAGTAGGAGAGTCTGAACGACTCCAAAATCTTTGCTCCTAACCTTTATTCTCCATCTCTGTAATCCTCTATGCTTGCACCTGGAAAATGGGGAGCTCCAAATACTGTTCAGGAGGGGGCAGGAGCAAGACTAAACAAATGCAGCTGATGGGACAAAGCAGCAGCAGAGGGAGCTGGTAACAGTGAGTGGTCAACACTGCAGGCTCGGCAGCTGGGCCGACTGGATTCAAACTCCAGCTTCACCCTGCTGGCTGACTTTGGAAACATCACTTCACTTCTCTGAAAGTTCTCATCTCTAAACTGGAAATGAAGAATATACCTAGTTCATCGAGGGTACTGAAGATTAACAACATGTCTCACTCTGGACACGGTATCCTGAAGGACCAGTCCTTGGAGAAGGACGTCAGGCTTGGTAAAGTAGAGAAACCCTCAACGAGACGGATTGACACAGAGGCTGCAACAATGGGCTCAAGCTAGCAACAACTGCGAGGACGGGGCAGGACCAGGCAGTGTTTCATTCTGTTGTGCACAGGGTCACTGTAAGTTGGGACTGACTCGACAGCACCTAACAACAACTTCCCTAAAGGAGTGAAAACGCAGTGCCATCGAGTGATTCCGACTCATAGCAACCACCATTGGGTTTCTGAGGCTGTAAATCTTTATGGAGGTAGAGTGCCCTGTCTTCCTTCCATGGAGTGGCTGGTGGGTTTGAACCACTGACCTTCTGGTTAACAGCCGGGTGCCTTATCCACTATGCCACCAGAGCTCCTTTCCTTAAAGGAGTAGGAACCAGTATCTAGCACATATTGTTATGTGATCATATCAATTCACTCAGGATCTGTAACATGGCAGCCTCTCTAACATGCTAGCTGACATTATTCACATCACCAAAGACTGAGTGAGCGCTGACTCTGTCCGTGAGGAGGGAAGGAAATTCAGATCAGTCTCTGAGTACATTCCGTTTGCACCCAGTTCCACTCACCCTGGTTACTGAATGCATATGCAGAAAAAGAATCAACACATTTTGTTATCTAAGAACCTAGTGTTCTAGAAAGACATTTCTAAGTGTTAATCCAAATGGAATGATTTACAACTCTCCCACCTGACTTCCATGGTTTTGTTGTTGTTTTATTTAAATTTTCTTCTATGCTTTAAAACTAAGGTGAACATGCAAATGCATTCATGGACTTATAATAACTGTTTCTACCACCTGTCTGGCTGTGTGCCCTACTCTGGTAGCAAGCATGTTGTTTTGATGCTGGAAGCTATGCCACCAGTATTTCAAATACCAGAGGGTCACCGATGGTGGACAGGTTGTCGTGCAGCTTCCAGAAGACAGACTTGGAAGAAAGGGCTGGTGATCTGCTTTTGAAAACCAGCCCACGGAAACGCCATGGCTTACAACGGAGTGCGCCTGGCGCAGTGCTGGAAGATGCGTGCCCTGGGTTGGAAGGCACTCGGGATACACGAGGCCCTCACCAATGGACTTGAGCATCTCCGTGATGGAAGGTGGCCTGGGACTGGCAGCATCCTGTTCTGCTGGCCATGAGGTCACCACGAGTTGGAGTTGGCCTGGTGGCAACTAACAACACTGTGGGATTTTAGACCCATCGCCTTTAATCTTTGGAATGACACCACATATAATAGGTTATCCTTAACAGGAAGAAGGTGAAATGAGGCCTGGAGAGGTTGCATAACCTCCAGGGTGCCCAGAGCTGGTGACCCAGACCTAAGGTTTTTTGGTTTCAAAGACTTGTTCTTGCTCCTTCAATGCGCTCACTCAGGAGCCAATGTGAAGCCACCATGGAACTTTCTGAGCAGGGGTTTGAAGTGAGGAGAAGAGTGCTTTAGGTCTGAAGCTTGGGCCAGCGTGGTGGCAGCATGCATGATCTAAGACTGGCATATTCAGGTCCTGCATCAGAGTGAGGGCACTTGGTCTGGGAGAAGATGGATGTGGGGATGGGTTGAGTGTGTCCGAATGGGCTCTGTCATGGTCACTGTCTGGATGGCCTGATGGACAGGTCCAGGAGGCAGGTGTCAGAATGGGCACTGGGCAAGATGTGTGGGGTGTTGAGCATGATCTCAGGGTCCTCCCCAGGGAGGATGACTGAAGGCACCAAAGAGCCCACAGAAGCAGATGTGAAAGGGCAGAGGGTTAAGGGTGGATCCTAAGGATGGTGTCAGAGAAAAGCAGAGAAAGCCTGGGCCGGAGAAAAGAGCCAGAGCCCAAGAGATAAGGCAAGGTGGAGAGGCTCACTTTCCTCTTGTTAGTGTCCCCTAGCAGATGTCCTTATAGGCAGTTAGTGCCTCCTAGTGGATTTCCTTATATGTTCACCTGGCAGTCAGCCAGCTCTCTCAGTGGGGGTGGGGGGTGGGCATCAAGGGTGGGTAACTTTGCTTTGCTGTTGTTGTTGGATTATGTGCCATTGAGATGGACTCGACTCATAGCGACCTACAACTTTTTAGGGCCCGATGGTGCTAGAGTCCTGAAAAGTTAGCTGTCAAAGCATGGAAGACTGATGAGGTGTGGTTTTCCTTCTCTCCTGGTGGGAGGATACACCCAGAGGTTATGCCTGATTTGCCCCACAGGGCATTAACCTGTCTGTGTAAGGCTGAGACATCACATACTTTCCTTTCTCTTTCTTCGTCTTCTTGAACTTCTTTCTGTGGTTTGGGTGAAAGTTTACAGAGCAGATTAATTTTCTATCCAGCAAGGGATACACATTTTGTTTTGTGCCACTGGCTGCAATCCCCTCACTCTACACAGCACCCTTCCTGCTTCCTCCCTGGGTCCCCTGCCCATCTGCCCATCTTTCCAGTCTCTTCCTGCCTTTGGGGCTTCGGTTTGGGGACAGCCTTCCTTTCTTAGTGACTGTATACAGGTTCTTCCCCAGATGTCCATGAAACCAGCTCTCTGGTCCTCCTGCCGGTTTTCTCATTAAATGAGCACAACTTCCACGTGGCTAAAAACAAGGTGCTCTGAGGATGGCTGCTGCACCTGCAGAGTCATCAGAAGGGAGCAAAGAGGGGTGGGGACGGGGACGGGGACGGGGACGAAGCGTGCCCAGGCTCAGCCAAGGGGGACAGGGGTTCTGAGAAGGAACAATGATGTTGTTTCTATTACTATTAGGAGCCCTGGTGGTGCAGTGGTTAAGTGCTCAGCCGTGAGCTTCAGTTAGGCTGGCAGTTCAAACCCACCCATGGCTCCGCAGAGAAAGACATGGCGATTGGCTCGCACAAAAATTCCAGCCTCGGAAACCTATGGGAGAAGTTCTACTCTGCCCTATATGATCACTATGAGTTGGAATCGACTCAATGACACAGAGCAACAACAATCTAGTCGAAGGAGTCCTGGTGGCACAATGGTTACATGTTTAGTTGCAAGTTGAAGGTTGATGGTTTGAACCCCCTGGCTGGTGATCTGCTCTCATGAAGAATACAGCCAAGGAACCCACGTGGAGCAGCTGAGCTGTATCACATGGAATTGAGTCCACGGCACCCAACACCACAACATGACATTTACAAAGGGTTGGGAGCTCTGGTAGCATAGTGGCTAAAGCACTTGACTGCTAACCAGAAGGCTGGCGGTTCAAACCCCCCAGCCACTCCTTGGAAGGAAGGTTGGGCAATCCTACTTCCGTAGTGATACTGCCTCGGAAACCCAAGGAGGGGTCGCTATGAGTCGGGGCTGACTCGACGGCATATAACAACAACAACAACAAGCTGTGCATCCAACGCTCTGTGGAGATCATTGCATTAAAGCAGCTGGACCTTCCCTGAAGGCTGGGTCCCGTTAGCAACTGATGGCTGCAGAAACTGTGGCTTCACGAGGTCACCTATGTTTCCTAGGTCACAAGGCCACTAAGCTACAGGCCAACAGCCACGCTCTTTCACCAGCGATTCCTTCTTTCACCATCATGTCCCCAGCTACTAAGAAGACTAAGGAACTGAGGCCAAGCAAAGTCCTGGTGGTCGATAGGGCTCAGGTGACTTCAGAGAGAGCAGTTTTAAGATGACATGCGGTGAAGAAGCAGAGGGAGAAGGTCCCTTCACACAGCCAGACCAGGTGTGTCCCAGTCCCGCCCTCTACCTCCTTTAATACTAGCTTGGCACGTTTATGCCCCATGGCTCAGCTCGCTCTTCTGCTATCTGCTGTCAGCTGGCTCTGACTGCTGGACCCGCAGAAACCATCC